CGAAGCAGAAAGAGGTAAATGTCGGTGCTCAGCTTATTGTCTCAATTTTATTCACTCCGGGTCCAGCTCATAGGATGGTGCTACTCATATTCATTGGGTTTTCTTTCTGTTACACCTCTTTGGAAGACAAGCCCAGAGATGTGTCTTCTAGGAATTCTAAATCCTGTCAAGTTGACAATGAAGCTTAGCTATAGGAGGAGGACATTCGAATTTCACTAGCCATCTTCTTTGCTGTGCTTAACTATCTTTAAAGAGGTAGGCCCAATAGATGCAGTCTTCTCTGGGGTACATGAACTGAATAACTCGAATAAAAGGCCAGGGCAGGGTGAAGGATGCCCCCTTGGATGTGGAGGGCCCGCTGGCAGCAGTAGCTTGGTGACCTTCCCCAAACCTCCCTGATCACCATTGGGAGTGAGAGGATCAGTAGCTGAAACAGCGGCAACACTGCAGCCTCGTTCTGTATTGTGAGTCTACTTTATATTCTGCACCTGCTTAATAAACCTGACTCAATCACAGTCATTCATCCCTCATTATAGGCTCCCTCTCCTTGATTTCTACAGGAGAGGGGAATCCCTCTAAGGACAGATTGGACCATTGAGGTGAAGGCTGCGAGGAGAGGTTGGCAGCATGAGGATGGGGAGAAAAGCTTTAGGAAGATACCAGAAGTGAGTTAGGTAGATACCTCTCAGGGATTTCTACTGCTCTGGAGAAGATAGACTAAGGCTTAGGGTCCAGATCCCATTTGGCTTCACTACAACAGTCCAGAAGCATCACAGAGAAGCATCGCAGAGGTGTAATCTCTAAAGTCCCAGCTCCGCTGTCTGGCCTTCCCTTGCAGTAGACATTCTCACTTCCTCCCACATCTCAGGAACCCCAGTAGCTGTTTTGGAGAAAACACTGTGTTAGCATTTGAGGGTCAGGCCTGGTTTCCTGAGATGCCATTTCTGGATCCACTGTGCTGAGTTGACTCAGGACCTGGATGTTTCCTAAAGACAAGTGATACCCATTGAGAACCTCTCAGAGTTCCCCGTGAAAGGATACGTAAGCATGCATGATGTGGGTCTGAAAGCCTAGTGTGATCACAAGCGGTATATGTCTAAAAGGCTGGAGCGATGAGTAGTATGAGTAGCATTGAGTCAGCCCCTCAGCATCCAGGTAAGGGTGGCAGGGCTGAACTGCTTCATCCCAGTCCTCAGGAAGAGCTGGGTACCTGACTGTAGGTGGTCCAGGGCAAGACGATAGAATGTCATGATGAAGTTTGTAGGAAAGATTTGGGATTTTAGAAAGATATTTTCCACATTCCTGGTTTCACAGGAAAGGAGACCAACTGATTTCCGGAGGGGGAAATACTTGTCTAAGTGTTCATTGCAAGTGATGGTGGAGTTGATTGAGAATTGATGGTGGAGTTGAGAGTCATTCCCAGGTCCTTTAACCTCCAGATGGAATGTACTAATAATATATAAGTGTAAGGAATCACCCCTCAAACGAACAACTTAGAACCACAAACATAGTATTTCATATTTCTGACATCAGGAACATGGGTGTGTTTTGGTTGGGTCCTTTGGCTATGGCATCTCTCAAGATGCTGTAATAAATGTGCTAGGTCGGGTGGCATGATCATTTGAAGGCTTCAGTAGAGTAACTTAGCTCTGAGTTCACCGAATAAGCTTTCTTGTCAGAATTCTGTTTCTCGCAGTCTACTGGACCAAGATCTTATGTCTCACTGGCTGTAGGCCAGACACCCTCTATCCCCCTGCCATGTGTTACTTTCCACATGGCAACCCACACAGAATAAGTAAAGGAGAGGTAAAGAATAAGACAGAAGCCAAAGTGTTTTACTGAACAGGCTATTCCTTTTGCTGTGTCTCTCTCACTGAGGTAGCCACTGTGCACAGCTCCTACTCCTGAATATAAGAAGCAGAGTCCGTTCAGGAACCGCTCACTACCCAAGTTCTTTCCGGCCTTATCTGCTCCTTTCTAATGCAATGTAGTAGAAAATGCAGAGGCAGACACCTCTATTACTCTCAGGGCAGGGAAATCACAGTTGTTGGGGTAAAGGACAGTTTACTTCCAGGAACAAGAGGTAACAGTTAATATTCACCTATTCCCCTCCACCAACAGTTCCCTTCCTCCTTCCTGCTGCCCATTGGACACCATTGACTGGTTGCTTGAAGTGTCTAGACTCTCCCCCAAACCTCTACCTGAGGCAAACCCTTCAGTGTTACTTTGTTAGCTCAGCTGAGTGTCAGACATCTCTTCCTTTTCAAAGATAACATAGCCATACATTTTTCACCCTGTAGAACTCACTCTTCAGTTTGATCTGTTTTCTCCAAGAGTTGCAAGGTGGCTGTGTTTGCTACACATAATTTGTATGTGCTCACACAAATTAGCTAATAAAAAACACATTTAACAGATACTGCTTATTCAGTCATGGCAGTCAGTTATGGTGTTGAAAACCAAAGTGATTGATCCCTAGCATCATGAAGCTTCCAGTCACTCCTACAACAGACTCTCCATGGTGTAAAAGAGCATTCTAGAAGAATAAAAGGAGATCTGACCCACCCAGTGGGGCTAAAGGGGGAGAGGTGGTTGTCTGGTACCCTCTTCTACTAACATTACTCTGTCAGAGTTAGGGCTATAGTGAGTCTAGTCAGTGTCCTGTTCACTCAACAACATACTGGATCCTAGACTCTTAAGACTGGAATAGAACTGGGACTGTGAAGTTCTTTCTCACTGCAATGTTTCCTCTTGATTCCCCCATGGGAGCTAAATGCACAAAGTTTCTTGTCATGAATATCCCCTTCATTCATTTAGTACATTTTATTGAGCAACTGTTAAATGCACTAAGTGAAAAACATACTAGCTTTCCCAAGGGGGAACATTAAAGGCCAGGCTCTGTTCATTTTAAGAGTTAATAATCTCAATGTAAATACCAGAACATGGTGCAATAGCCTTTTACTCTGTTTATGAAATGATGGCTATTCTCTGAAGCTATTAATATGATCTGTGTACAACCAACAAACCTGGTTGTTCAGTGGGGAGGATATTTTCCCAACCTGAGGGGTCCTATCATGTGTTCAGGGAAACTGTGCACCATTAGGGCCATTGAGACAGAACCCTGTAATTTTAATAGTACTTCCGCCTTTGTTAAACTGTGGTAGACATTTTGTGGGGGCAAAATGCAGGAATGGTCTGTTGCATCTTTACTCTCCAGTGATCCAGTGAAAACCATAGAAGCCAAGTGAACCTTTGTATCCTGCTCTACAGGGTTGAATGTAGTTTGTGCTACAAAGGGAGATGCAGACATGGACCTCTGGAGGTTTACACGATGTTTTGAATGTCTGCTAACACTAATTTTAAAAAGAACAAACTGAAATACGCTATGTTCCACACCTGTCCCCCTCTTACGGGTGCTTCTACCCACCTGCCCTTGCGACATAGGCCAGGCACCATGCCAGCTTTTCTTAGATGAAATTGAGGCCAGCCTACCAGTGTTCCCCCAGCCAGAGGCCCCACCCTTTGAGACACAAAGGGTTTCTGTGACTCAAGCAGGTCTGAGTGCTCATCTCCTGGATGAACAGATTGCCCAACTTGCTGTGTAGTGAGTGATGTGGTTTCCATTCAGCCCTGAGGCTACCCTCTAGCTAAACCTACACACTTTATTCCATTCTAGACTTTTGTGTGGAGATTTCAGGGTTCATCTGGTTCCTTTTGATGCTCTGGGTAGGTGTGAGTTGCGAGTTGCTGAATATTAGATCCTCATGCTGACCCCACTGAACAGGTGATGAAGTTAAGCCACAAGTAACTAGGTTGGTGCTGTCATCTTGTCCAAAAGTCTAAGATGCAAGACAACATAATTTCTTTGTCATCCATTAGTGCACTAGCAGGCATGGTGCTGGAGGAGCAGCTTAGCTGAGAGTTTTATAAGTCCTGATCTTCAGGTCAGGAGTAGGAGACTGACTTGGCCCATCTCACACCTAACCCAAGGCACACCACCTAATCACCACCTAATCCTTTCCAAGCAGTCTGAAATCACTCTGGCTTCCACAGGCTATACAAAATGATCACACATCACATTCTGAAAGGAATGGGTGTTGGGGTGTTGGAACTGCAAGAGAATTTCAAGTCTTAGATGGGACTTAGATGGGACTGCTAACTAGAATGCTTCTCTTGGGTTGCTCCGACAGACTCCAGCAGTCCTTGACAGGTATAGCACTGGGACACAGTGGAGTGAGAGATCTGTAGACAATTTCCCTCACCTCACATGTGGTAAACACTCTGGCAGAGAGTCTAGGATCAACTGGTGTGTATGTTACTGCACACTGCAGCTGTAGCACTTGTTTCATGCAGAGTGTCAACCAATATCCACAGTTGGTGTTGGAGCTAGACCAACACCGAGCTGGGACCAGCTCAGTGCACCAGCTTTCTTCCTGGACGCTTAAGATTGCAGAGGATCTTTCCAGACTCTTCTGTCTGCCTGTCTGAAGGATTCTAGGAAGCCAACTCAGGGGACCCTGAGGCTACTTAGGAGCCCTCTAACCAAACCATCTCATAAGAGCTTTTTGTGGCCAAGTCTTCATTTTGGCCAAGTCTTCATTTCAATTGATTTCAGAACATGACATTCCAGAGAAACTAGGAACAGTAGGAAACATCACCCAGGCAGCTGGACCCAAAGTTGGATCCAAAGACGAGGACCCAAAGACAAGTCCCTTTGGGAAAGTTTCTGGACAAAACCTAGTGACTGTGTTCACATACCTGCCATGAGTTTAAGGTGGGTTTGGGCATAGCATAAAAAAGGCACAGTGTATTCCTTGCTACCCAGGTAAGGGTCCAGCTTAGGCCTCCTGCTTTCTGGCTGACCATATTCTGTGGAGGCAAAGTTGGAACATACTCCAAGGTGTAATTCAAGAGGAACCAGAGGGTCATGTCTAATGGTCTTACCTCCAACCATGCCTAAACTCAGAAATGCAAATATTTTCCAACCAAAAGATCAAAGAAAATTCCAGTTTTCACAAGTTTATTTGTTTTCAAAATGTTATTGAGATGTTGGGGAGAAACAGCCAACATATACATTTCCTTATTTCGTCACGACTGGCATTTTACCCACTCGATAGGATCTTTCTCCGGCTTTGGTCTAACTTCAGATCTCTTTGGCAGTCCCCCTCTGATGTCCTCAGCTGCTGCCTGGTGCTGTTCGAAGTCCACCAGGACAGAGCTCGTCGCCGCATCACAAGTGGGAGCGGTAACTGCGACTTGCTGTGGGGAAGGACAGATTTACAACAGGGACACCTGTTAAAACGTAGCCATCAGCACCCTTATCCCTAGGAACTCAGCCACTGGAACCCTGGCATCTCAGGCTGAGATTGCCGGTTCTGACTGAGGACTGTCTCTGAAGGTGACTGGGAGAGCATGTCCCTGGGTTTGACTTCTCTCCTCACCCTTCACTTACCATCATCGCCCCGTTTCCTACTCTTCAGGCTGCCCTTTCGGTATTTTCTCTTGCCGCCTCCTCTCTTGACACCCTTGTGAGGAGCTCGGTTTTTTCCTCTCCTCATGCCATGATTCTTTAGTTTGCGGCTGGTCGACATTGTAATTTCTGCCAAAATGAGGGGCTTTGCAAGGCCGGCAGGGCCAGGAGTCCATGTATTTAAGGTCTAAGCCATTGTGACTGCAAGGGGGTGTGGCTTAGCAGCCGGGTGGGGCTCTCTTGTGATGTCACTAGCCTTTGCTACACCTTGGTCATACATATGAAGTAAGGCGGCCTCTTCAGTGCAGCTCAAGTCTGGTCCTCAATTTTGAGACCTCCCCCTCTTTTAGGTTCAAGAAGGCTTTTCAACAGGTATTGAACAACTAAGTCCCACTCCCTATACTAGGCCTAGAAAGTGTTTTATCAGTGGCCATTAAATTTTGTCTTTTGCCTATAGAGAACTTAAAAGTCACTGAGTATGGATATTCGTGTGCATGCATAAGTCTCACAGAGTCTGCAGGCTCTCAAAGAATCCAGGAGAGCTGATTCAGTATAATCAAAATATGAAGTTTTCTTCCCAGTCTTTGCACTTTTGACCCCAGGGGCTGGACAAGTCTTGGTGTTTTGTATGTTTTGGTATCTTTGGCGCCATATCTGGCTTCTCTCTACCTGCTACAAACCAGTAGAACCAGAACCCCAGCAGATGTGACAAAGCTCTCTCCATGTCTTTTTGGGAGTCTGGGATGCAGAAACACCATGATTGAGAGCTACTGTTCTTAAAAAAATTTTAGTCGCAAAAAATTGCTCATGTAGGATATGTCTGTCACATATCTAGGCACTAGGGAAGTAATCTAAAGGCATAGCCTAGAGACAAAGTCCTGTGTTCATGGACTTCCAGCCCAGTGGATGAAACCAATTAAACCACTGATCAGGCACCTCCACAAATCTGTGAATTCTGAGTGGGTGATCGAGTGGAGGAACGAGTGAGAGCTCTGTACCATAGCAGTGGTTCAGGAGAAAGGATTTTCCAGTGACGTAGCTGCTGGAGGGAAAGAGATAGTTGCGATACAAAACTAGACAAGGACCAGGTTTTGGCGATGGAGTGGATGTGGGAGGTAAGAGTGGATGCTGTCAGGAAGTGTAATGCTGCAGCATGGAGGCTTAAGGCAGCAGGATCAGGCTTGGTGTTTGAGTATGGGTTTGAAGGGCCTTTGTAACTTCTAAATAGAGAAACTGAGCAACAATTGTTGAGTATATGAGTCAGGAAAACTTATCCAACATTCTGGTCTTCCTTCGTAACTCCTATCAAGTCCAATAGAACAAATTTCAACAGACATTGAAAGCTCTTTCTTTCTCCACCATCATTGTCCCTGGTCAAGAACTAGCAAACATGTAGGAAGTTCTCAGCAAAAGTTGGTTGACCCCTCTGCCCCGCATGTATTTCTGATGTTCATCGGTAAGAAGCTACGATGTTTGAGTGCCAGATTCCTTGAGTGGCTTAGCTTCAAGTCAGTAGCCTGTCAAGTCTCATCGTGGCATCCTCTTCACATTTTTTAATGCTTTCTGGTGCACTTGAGGATGGTTTGGTAACCAATTTTCTCTCAACCGGCATCACATTGTAAAGCACCCCTTCCACACCAGTCAGAATGACTCCTTAAGAATTTATTCACTTATTCCCTGTGACTTTTATTCCCAGATAGAGGGTTGAACTATGTCAGTGTTCCACCTTGCCCTCTGTACTTCAAGCTCCTCTGCCCATACCAGCCTCTCTGCTTTTCCTTCTCACAAACAGGCCCATGAGAACACAGGTCTTCAAAGCTGGCAATTAGCAGCTCTGCTCATCACCACACACAGCTTGGTGGCAAATGTTCCCACCACAGAATGGGGTCTCAGTGAGCCTTTGTGGAAAACATTTGTTAAAAAAATAGAATTTAATTTTCTTAAGTCATCCTAGTCCTCCTGTTTTGTCCTACAATTCTAAGGAATTTTCACATACTCATTGCCCTCTGACATTTATTCAAAGTCCTGTAACACTGCCCTTCAGATCGAGGCAATGAACTATGTAAAAGCCCATTTTGTGCCTGGATTGCCATTTGGGTGCTCAGTTGATCTCAATAGAAAGTAGTCAGTCTTGGTTCTGGTACCAAGGTTGGATTTCTTAGGACTTTGTCTCTATTGTTTGCAAATAATCATGTTGAGTTAGGTTACTAGGTGGTCACCAAGATGAGTTGGTGGGCATGATGGTCACCTTGTAGTATGCACCTTATTTCTCTTGCACTCTCCACAGGAAATGCCTCCCAACAGCGGGCCTCTTTCCTCCACCTTGCCTTATCCAATGGGACTCAGGTTTTATTTTTTGGCTTTATAAATCATTTCTGATTAACAAGAGGAAATAGTTTCTAGTAGTAGTTGGCAGACAGGTGGAGGTGTGTGACCTTTGTTGAAGAGGAACTGTGGGTCCCTTGGAGTTGTTAGGCAGATGGACCTTGTCTCTTGAGCTGGTCAGATGCACTGACCATATAATGTCTTATCTCCTATCAGGACAGCTAGGGTCATACTTGGGACTAGACACTTCAAGATATTTTAAGAACAGAGAGCCCACCATAATGAGAAGGGCGTGGTGAGGAGGACAGGGCTACACTCAGAGCTCTGTACTCACCTCTGTATTTCAGAGGAACTGGACCCGTGCTTTAAGAGACTTTTCTGGGGGTGATGGACAAGATTTTATTTCTCCAACTCCCGCCTCCCTGAAACCTGCTCTGGCAAAGAGCAGTTTAGATAACAGGGGAAAGCAGCCAGATTTGAGAGCTGATGAAGAAACTGACAAAAAAGGTTCCATTTTTAATTCACCTTCAGAAACCCGAGCTGTAGAGATAAGTCAAAAGCAAGTCACAAGGCTAGGCAAGGGCTGGAGGCCTGAGGGTTGGCTCTTAAACTACATCTCCTGGGGTGGATAGAGAAGGGTTGAGCATCAGTCACTGTTGAGTTGCTTTTCCTGCCCCAGTGGAATATGAGCCAAAGGCAATTTAGAACAGTGACCTCACTCCTGACCCTTTGCAGGTTCAGAGGAAGCCCCCACCCCATCAGGAACCATCTGTTAAGTCAGTCTCTTCACTGTCTCTTTTCCCACTCCTGGCTTCTAAGTTTTATTTTGGTGGGAAAACACGTGTACGCACACGCACACGCGCACACACACACGCACACACACACACACACACAAAGAGGATGCCTCAGCCGATTAAAATAAAGTAGCAGAGGAACAGCCTGGTAGACATACTGTCTCTTCTACACCTTTGTTTGCCCCATGGGACTCAGCTTTTGCTCCTTTTGTTTCTGGTAGATGGAAGGAAATGAATAGCTTCTGGTAGTTATTAGAGCAGGTAGGGAAAGAGGGGAGAGAGAGAGAGAGAGAGAGAGAGAGAGAGAGAGAGAGAGAGAGAGAGAGAGAGAGAGAGAGAGAGAGAGAGAGAGATTGTCACAGGTGGGTGGATTGTATGGTGCAGTCCTTAACTACACTGTAGTTAAGGGCTTTTAGGCCAGTTCACCCTGGCCCTGCTCTTAGGAAGGACAAGTTGATAGTGTTACTGTTGTGACAGTCATATTTTCATTAATTTTCCTGAGGAGTCCAATAGACACCTTCACAGGGATGGATCTGCCCACCAAGTTGGGACTTGGAGTTTATTAAGAGGGAGAATGGAAAAGTTTCAGACAGTCCTTACACATGCTGGTGACTAAGTCCGAGTCCCTCTCTGAAATTTAAGTCTTCCAGATGTTGACTTCAGCTGGGGAGTGGGGACCTCCTATCCTGTTCACATGTACACCTGCCTTGTGTACCACTGCTGTTTTTGTTCAAACATGCCATGGGTGGGGCCACAGCTGGGTAAGGTGAAAACAGATGAGATGTCTCACTAAGGGACAGAGCCTTCTGAGCCAAGAGCTCGTCTGGTGTCTTTGGTGGAGAACTAAGACCAGAGACTCAGGACAAACAGCGGTTTTCTGAGTGAAGAGGAGGGACTTTTAACTCGGTGCATCTCTACCATCAAGTGCTGGAAACGCATCGGAACACCCTGCTTCTATAGATGTTCTGCTCTTTTCCTTTATTTTTTTCTTCCTGGCTCCTCTCTCTTCTTTTCTGTGGAATTCCCTGTGTCTTTCTAGAAACAATTGCTATGTTTTTAGTAACAGATAGTGAGCAGCTAGAAGACAGAGACTCAGGATCTGTGGGAGATCCTTCTGGAGTCCTTTATTTTGGGGGGGGGCCCTTGCCTTAAGGAATGTACCTAGCCAGTGGAAGAGACATGGATGGCCAACCCTGGCTGTTCTTAAACTCACTGTGGTTCAGTGGTAAGTCCTCAAGTTTAAGGATGCTACACCACAGCATCTTTTCCACTGGGCTTAGACATGTCCAACCTCGACTCCACACTTGTATGAAAGGGTCATGGTGGAAGAAACTTGAAAGGAGAGAGACAGTTGGGAGAAGTGTTTCATCTGTACAGGCAGCTGTAAATTAGAGAGCTGAATGTCCAGTTTATCTGGATTTCTGGAAAATTATTTTCATTCATTTTGCTTTCCCAGAAGATGGTGTGGTGATACACAAAGAAAATCCAAATTTCGTGCTTCAGAGGAGTTCAGACAATACTGATCACTTTCCTGCCCCTACTAACCTTTGCCTGAATCTAAAGAACATGCACATTCTCTGGCCAATGTAGTTTCCTTCTGTTAGAGACAAAAGTCAGGCCACACACAGGGGTGCTGGAAATCTGTGTTTAAATTTTGTGTGTGCACTAAATCATCTGGTCACAGATGATTTGTAGGAATGAATGTGTTTGAATCCATCTATTGATAAGAGTAGTGACATTTGAGTTGGAGGGTTTCTAGAGAACGTAACAAATATGGGCCAAGAGGAAGGTAACCTAGACAAGGACAAAATGCCTCAAGTTCCTCATCCCCAGCTTGGGCTTCTTGACATGGGTCATGATACACAGTTGAAATGTCTTGTCTTTCCTTCGCATGCCCTATGCATTTTACTTGCTTCTTTATCCTGTTCCAAGAGCCATGTGTTGGGAGTCCTTGTCTTCTAGAAGTTATCCTTATCAGGACATCACTTTGACCCCCCCAAAAGTATTTGCCACTGAGAAGGTAAAGATTCAGAAGTTGCCACATGTTCAGGCCAGCGCCTTCATAACTGGTTATATAAAGCATTGTGACTACCATGCTGGCATCAGCGCACCAGGCAGAGGAGGTACCAAATGGTCCTGTGACATTTAACAGCAAGGATGTATTCTAAGAACATCCTTATGGGACCAAAAATATATCTTTATCATGACTACTACTGGATTACTTTAAACATGTAACCATTCTGGCCAGGCTTGTTTTGTATTTCTGACAGAGACAGAGTATATGTTTACTTGTGGCTCCAGAATGATGGAGCTGACACCATCACTGCCTATGTACTGATAGAATTCTCATATGTGAAGATCTTAAAACTATCTTTAGAAAAAGAACAAAGTAACATGTTTGCCATTATGGTCATGGAATTCTGCAGCTGTAAGCACAGAGGTGTAGTGACATTTACCCCCGCCCCTCATGTCCCTATGTTGGGAGAGCACCACGTAACTTGTTTTTAGGTAAAGACCAAACACATACCCAGTTGTATTTAAACATGGAAACAGCTAGATTTTATTGTCAAGAAGCTCTTGATACAGGGCATCCTTATTCTCCTTGGAGGATGTGTGAAGGGTAATATTACAAGATCACTGGCATCCTGGTGAGGACTCTGCCACAAACAGAAATGTGTTTCCTCCATAGATAACTCTTCTGCAATGGCAATAGGGATATTTCCTTCTTGCTGTAAGGAAGGAAAGACAACAGCCGAGTTGGTTAAGGTAGGAGACTCGAAAAGGCCCTTCAGGTAATCACACAGGTGTTGTTGGTCTATCTTGTCACCTGCAACGTCTGCTCCAGGCAAAGTCACTGCCTCCCCAAATCATATTATTCATGTTATAAGACAAAACTACTGACATCTTGTTAAAAATGAAGAATATGAAGCAGCAACAGCAGAGTATAAATCTAGGGTCCCTCTGAATCTTAGACTCTTTGTGACACACATCTCTGGCCTATGACACCCATCCCATCTCCCTCATCACCTAAGGCACTTTGTAGACATAGAGGTACATATGTAGTTTACTTACCACTCTCTCTCTTCCTGTCTCCTGCTCTTCTTCCTTACCTTACCTCTTCCTGGGGTTTAAAACCTCAGGTCGCAAAGAGTGAATGACAAGAGAAGTGCAGATTTTCTGCTTAGTCTTCCTTTGTGAAGGAATCCCAGGAATTTGGATTTAAAGGTTGGGAGAGGGCATCTCTTAGGACCTCATTGCCAATGTAACCCTGCTAAGTGCTGTCATCAAACTCCTATTTTTACTAGGCTTGGCCTCAGGTGAATTCTGGGACTCTCTCTTTTGCTTCCTAGTAGTTATTAAACCTGCATTTGTGATGCCTCCATTTATATGAAATAAGGAATGGTAGCCCATTTAGGGAATTCTTGTGACCTTCAGATACATCTTTATAGAGGCTGCTTAAGTTTTTCTTTTCTTTCAGTGCTGCCCAGTGAAGCTTCTGGCAAACAAGGCTAACTGTATCACCCTTTGGTTGAAGATGTTCAGGAAACCTTCCTAATAGATGTAGCTCATATTCTCCATGTTTCCATCTCTACTCCTCTCTTCCACCTCCAGCATCCATCTCCAGTCAGGCTTTTTATTCTCTCCTTAAGCAACCTCCACTTCCACAGCTAAGTTGAGTATTGAGTAAGTGGAGAGTGAATTAGAATGTTTCATAGGAAAAAAATCAGTGATTCTTAACACTTATTAAATTCCTGTTAAGTCCACCAAAACCCAAAGATGACACATGAACCTTCAAAAGGTATCTTTTGGTCACATTTTATATATACTAAATTCTGTCCAGATTTTGTATCCATGACTTCTTAGATATTGGACTTGAGGTTGAAGCTATATCTTTGTGGGGTTCTTGGGGGAAGGATTGGGGTAGTACATTTTTTAATAAAGGTGTTGGCTTAGACCTTTGACTACCACATTGTTGGAGAGGGATTGGAGAAGTATAGGGAAGGCATTATGGAGGTGCATAAGGGAACTACCAGGAACAGCGGATACATTTACTACCTTGATATGTGGCAGTATATTCATTGAATGCATACCAAGGTCAAAACTTCTCAAATTGTATATCAGTTGTACCTCAAGAGAGTCATTTTAAGAATTCTATATTTTTCAAGTCCTCACTCAAGAGATTTCTAGGATTAAGACAATGAAACCAATAGCCTATGCTTACTGAAAATGTAAGACTTGTGCTTGGAAGGCCTGGTAGGGGCGGTTACAGGCTTGCGTCACTCATATAAAGCTTGTATGTGCTATACTGAAGAATATCAAGTCTGAAATATTTGCTTGACTATCAAAATATTCCAGTGTTTTCCCAGTCACCCAAGCAAACTACCATGCTGACTTTCAGCCATTATGACAAAGCATCACCAGTCATCAGGTCCTCTGACTAGGAGGGCCCATGTCACAGTCACTTATAAAGAGAGGATGGCCGGGCTGCTTTGGACTGATGGACTTGGGGTGAGGGAGAGGGATGATGGCGGGAACAGCCAGAGGCTGTCTTAACCAGAACCTCACTGCTGACCAGAGTTGGGGACCGTGAGAAGATGGCAAAACCCTGTAAATGTTGGTGTCCAACATGTTGCACGAAGGATTTTCCACAGAGACACAAAGCAAAGAAATCACCCCAGAAAAGGAACAAAAGCCTAAGGTACTGATGACACTTTCTGATTGCAAAGCAGACTTTAAAAACTAAGTAATGACCACGTTGGCTTGGCCATTTTCTAAAACACATTGTATCTAAAGTGGGCATGCCAAAACGATGAATCCCAGGATAGCTATAAATGCGCCCAAACACATTTGCTGACAATGTCATATCACAACACCAGTGAAAGCATAGAACATAAAGTATAGCTCATCATACAGCCTCCAAAATTCTCCCCTAGCTATTTTTTCTACATGCCCTTCTACCTCTCCAAACTCCCCAACTCTACTAGCACACAAAGAACCAGATGTCCATGTTCCTTGTGCTGTATAGCCTCCCTCTGTTCTTGTCCACTTTGTAGGAGACACTGTTATCACTGGACCTACTTCTTTGAAAGTAGGCTCTCAAACACTTTGAAACCGTGCCTTTGATGGCCTTTTCAGATAAGAGTTGGCAAGGTCCCTATGTGAAGAACACAAAACTTTACAGTGTTCCCTCACAGCTTTTCATTTTTATCCATAGTGAGGCACACATGGCTTGGCTGAAGAAACTGCTTGATTCCATGCAGTACCAAGTCATATTTGTTCCCATGGCTGACTCAGACGACAGCCCCTCCTGCGGCAGGTCCAAGACCACCATAATCATCATTGAGCTTGCCTCTCCACCCCAGGGCCTCTGAATAAACCATCATCTTTCTCTGAAAAAAAAGGTGTTTTTGAGTGCAATTATTTAGCTAAGGAGTAATCTGTGGCCTCTGAAATACCCCAGCTTTTTTTATGTAATAAGATAGTGGGGTGTGGTAGGTTGGGAGAGAAGCAGGTGAGTCAGAGGAACTATGCCACTTTTTTCCTGTTTGAGACATTGCTAATGAAATTCATGGTTGGGCTTTGGTTTGGGACAGGTTGAGATGCTCTGACTCTGAGAAGGGTTTAGTTTGATAACTTCTCTAAACTGGGCCAGACACTGGCTAGTCTGCTACTTCTGATGGTGGTGATGGTAAGCAGATTTCTAGGAGATTATACTTCTAGCTTCATCTGTTGGCAGCCATGAAGACAAATATTTTTCTGAGAAGCCAACACTAGCCCAGTATAATCAAGAGGTAGAACAAAGGTACAATGGGTTTACAACTGGATATGCCTGTTTAGAACACAGGCCACAGAGGGCAACATTCCTAATCTCACAGTGTGTCCCACACCTAATGTATGGTGGGGACCAAATATCTGATAGATATTTGATGTTCTTTGCACAATCGAATCTTTACATAAAGGTACCAGGTCATTCTCTACCTCCAGTCATTACCAATAAATTGCAGATGTTTTGTCATGCACAGGACCTTCTGGAGGTCATCAATGTGTTTCTGAAAAAACGAGCAAGAGGGATCTGGGGAGACAGTTCAGTGGGTAAAGTACTTGCTATATAAGCATGAGGATAAGAGTTTGAGTGGGTGTGGTGGCCCAACTGTAATTTAGCACAAGAAAGGCAGAGACAAAGGATTTCCAGACTAGCTGTGAGTACCACTGTGGGTGTCAGTGATCAAGATACCCAACATCAATCTTGGGCCTCAACACTCCCACATACTTATGCCTCACCATGCACATACACATACACATGCAGACATATTTAACCTTCCCACATAACAGCAAGGCCAAAGATAATCTGTAAGGGTGAGGATTTTTTTTTTATCTCTTCCTTAGTCCATGAGAGGAATAGAAACTGGAAAAGGGTTAGATTGGAGGTGTCTCCTGATGCTCAGTCGAATAAGGTGGATCCCAGAGCCTTGGCTCATGTTCTAGGTGGTGATGGATTTCTTTGATGAGCACTTTTGTTCTTTGGCCACCATATTTGACCTCAAAATGAGGTTGGGGAGCAATGGTAGAGTAGTGTTTGAAGTTCTTGGGCTAGAATCTCCGAACCTAATAGCAGAGAGTATTGAAGTACAGCGTACTGGAGTAACACTACAGGAAACTAGTTTATCTTGTGGCAGTAGGTTGTACTCATTTGACAGGCATATCTCATGGTAGGCGATGACAGTCATACATACACTGACTGGTATAGAAACCTCAGGGAGAGTGCCAACCTGCTTTTTTTTTTTTTTTTTTGAGAAAGAGCACAAGCATAAAGTTAGGTGAGTAAGGGGTGGGAGGGGTAACCTGGGAGGAGTTGGGAGCGGGGAAAGAGTATAATCAAAATATATTATGAAAAGAAAAAACAAAACATGATGAGAAAGGAGGCCGGAGACATTCTTCAGCTGGGCCCCCACTCTTGGACCTCTAGCTCCTGGGAGACTGGATTCTTTGTTCTCCATAGTCTTATGTCAGTTTTTGCTTCATTTTCCCAAGAGGTCCATAAAGTATTTGTGGTAACTTGTTCCCTTTTCTTTGAAGATCCTCTTTTGGGCTCCTTTTTTTGTGGGATGGTAGTTTTTTATTAGCAGGGTCATTTGTGTGGGAGTGGGGAGTGGGACTAGGGCACAGAACCTACGCATCCAAACCAGATGTTTCTCAGGTAGTTAAGCCAATGAAAGGAAGAAGGCAGCCAATAGACTATTTATAGGGTGAGGCCGTGTGTGATGCAATACTGGCCATAACATTACAGTCACATGATCCTGTGTACCTCCTCATCATGTCAGATGATGCAGCTGACCCCTATTTTTCCCCCTTTTTTAAAAATTTCAGTTAGAAACAAGCTTGTTTTACATGTCAACCCCAGTTTCCTCTCCCTCCCCTCCTTCCCTGTCCCCCACCTATGCCTTTATCCCATCCTCTTTCTCCTCCCCAGGGAGGGTGAGGCCCTTCATGGGGGAGCTTCAAAGTCTGTCATATCATTTGGAACAGGGCCTAGGTCCTCCCTAGTGTGTCTAGGCTGAGAGAGTATCCCTCTGTGTGGAATGGGCTCCTAAAGTACATTCCTATACTAGGGATAAATACTGATCCACTACTAGAGGCCCCATAGATTTCCTAGGCCTCCTAACTGACACCCACCCACGTTCAGGGGGTCTGGGTCAGTCCCATGCTGGTTTCTCAGCTATCAGTCTGGGGTCTATGAGCTCCCCCTTGTTCAGGTCAGCTGTTTCTGTGGGTTTCAGCAGCCTGATCTTGACCCCTTTGTTCATCACTCCTCTCTCTCTGCAACTGGATTCCAGGAATTCTAGCTGGCCCCAAATTAAACACTAGGAGCTCATGAACTTGAGTCCCTCCTGTCTATCTAGAATTTATTCTTTAAAATCTTTCTTTGTTTTCCTGCTTTTCAGTATTTTATAATTGTTCAGTTCTATGGGCGTTCAATACATCTTCAGTTACAAAAGATAATTTCATTGCTGTAGCATTCCTATTTAGTGGCTTAGAGGACAAATGTCTTCTACATGGTTCAATAGAGGGTCTGGGAAAACCATATAATTTAGTCACTGCCCTGAAAAAGCTAGGTGTTTTTTTTTTTTAATGGGAAACTTACATGTTTTACCTCTTAGTGGCTTTAGAAAAGTTGCAATGTCTGTCAACACTGGCTCCTCACTTCTTGGAGCCATTGTTTCCATACATCCCTTCCTACACAGCCTTGCTGGACCCTGAAGACTTTGTAACTTCTGTCCTAAGTTCTGCCAGCCCTTGATTCATGCTTGTCCACATCCAACAACTGGTTAGAGATGAGTTTGAAGTTCTAGGTGGGAAAGTGGTGTGTGAGAATCTGGTAGTATGGGCAGCATGACCATCTTCCCTTGGAGCTCCTTTTAAGACCTCCATATCTTATGAGACCTCTTTATTTGGGGCACAGGTTGAAAGCCATGAAGGAAATTCTAGGAGTTACAACCAAAGAGAAGAGACCCCTATCGCTGTGGGGGTGGTTTGGGTTTATGACGCTGGTAACAAACTGTAGCCCTCCCATTCCTGGCATCCACAATTATACTCTTGTGCATGTGATGCTGTGGTCTCTAAAGTCCGATTCATTTTGAATTAGTTGGAACAGCAAGAAAATTGGATCGAAGAAGAGGCAGACTCCCTCGGTTATAAGTACTGAGCTGAACTCAAGAAAGCCAGTAACAGAGAGGGAGGACTGATGACCAAAGGGATTAAGACTGGGCTGGTTTAACCCCCAGAAACAGCTGACCTGACAAAGGTTAACTCTTGAATCCCAGGATTCAGCCTGGGAATCCAGCATGGGACTGATCAAGACCCCCTGAATGTGAGTGTCAGTGAGGAGGCCTAGGTAATCTATTGAGCCTTGGGCAGCAGATCAGTACCCATCAGTATACACATGGACTTTGGACTCCCATCCAACAATGTGAGGTGCACTCTCACCCTGAACTCTTGGGGAAGGGTCTAGGCCCTGCCCTATATGAAATGACAGACTATGGACACCCCCATGGAGGGCCTCACCCTCCCTGGGGAAATGAGGGGATAATGAGGGGGTTGGGGGGGAGGGCACGGGAGGAGGGGAGGGAAAGGGAGAGGGACCTGGAACTGACGTGTGAAGCAACCTTGTTTCTTATCTAAATTTAAACTGAAAAATAAATTTAAAAAAAAGAAAATTGTGTAGGGCAGATGAGATGCCTTAAATGTGTTCTGGCTTTGTGTGTGGGGAGTCCTTTCAACTTTGTGGGTTCCTGGAGGACAAGGACCAGGTCTGACCTCCATGGGTGCCTCCAGTCTTGTCAGTGACAGTGGATGGTTCAACAAAATACCTCACTGAATCAGTGGTTTATAGTCATTCTCTCCTGTCCCAAGGAGAAAACCATATTTTCCTTTTGAGTTTCCTTGCTTGGAGTGAGGGATGGAATTGAGGCTCTTTCTTCTTAGACTTCTGAGTCTGTGAAACTCAAGAGGATGTTACATTTTGGGAGTTACTTAATTTTATCACATCTTTAAGTAGAACTTAAGGTAAGGATATGAGTTGAGGCTTCTTAATGGGAAGTGGATTGCAAGAAGGAAGGAAGGGAGAGGATGTGTGGGACATTAAAAGAAGAGACCAAGAATATGTTACTGAGCTGGATATTGCTGTGGATGATGGGGTTCAGTCCTGCTGGCTACCCAGTGAGTTCTGTAGAAGATGAAGAGATTGGAACACTTGCCCATGATTCCACCTGTTCTGGAAAGCCTCACCTGGGAGTGGTAATTGCTTCTTTCCTGCTGCCTAGCATCTTTGATAGGTAGGATGCTTTACCTTTTGCTGTTACTTTTTTTCCTCATTTCTTTATGTCCTAAACCAAAATTGAGGTGAATATGCATCATTTACATTTCTCTTTCTCAAAACACAAGCAATATCAAACAAACAAAACTCAGACCTCACTCCCTGTATCCATGGCATCTTCTAAGGGAGTGATGTTAGGCTGAGGGTTGCTGCCTCTTGAAGCACTTGCTTCTGTAAGCTATATCCTACTAGTGCCTGACCCAGCAGACACAGAGAAGATCCACCAATGTTTGTCCCATGACTATATGTATATTCAAAGATTGATCATGCACATTTCATAAAAACAAATGGGTTTTCTTGTTGCTAAAATATAAATCTCTGTCTCTTCCTCTTCATACTACGTATGATTTGGGTTTACACAATGTATTAACTAACACTTGAATTATAGTGTATTTCCAATGATTTTTTTATTCAAACACACACAAGAATTTTTACCACAATCGACTATTGTTCTTTAAAAAATTAGTATATTAGAGTTAACTGTTGAAGTGCAATGACCAGGTCAAATGGGACCCACC